GGTGTGTATCTGGGGTTAAACTGCACCTGTGGGTGTGTATCTGGGGTTAAACTGCACCTGTGGGTGTGTATCTGGGGTTAAACTGCACCTGTGGGTGTGTATCTGGGGTTGAACTGCACCTGTGGGTGTGTATCTGGGGTTAAACTGCACCTGTGGGTGTGTATCTGGGTTGAACTGCACCTGTGGGTGTGTATCTGGGTTAAACTGCACCTGTGGGTGTGTATCTGGGGTTGAACTGCACCTGTGGGTGTGTATCTGGGGTTGAACCGCACCTGTGGGTGTGTATCTGGGGTTAAACTGCACCTGTGGGTGTGTCTCTGGGGTTAAACTGCACCTGAGGGTGTGTATCTGGGGTTTTAAACTGCACCTGTGGTGTGTATCTGGGGTTAAACTGCACCTGTGGGTGTGTATCTGGGGTTGAACTGCACCTGTGGTGTGTATCTGGGGTTGAACCGCACCTGTGGTGTGTATCTGGGGTTAAACTGCACCTGTGGGTGTGTCCTAGGTTGAACCGCACCTGAGGTGTGTATCTGGGGTTAAACTGCACCTGTGGGTGTGTCTCTAGGGTTGAACCGCACCTGTGGGTGTGTATCTGGGTTAAACTGCACCTGTGGGTGTGTATCTGGGGTTAAACTGCACCTGTGGTGTGTCTCTGGGGTTGAACCTGCACCTGTGGGTGTGTATCTGGGGTTGAACCGCACCTGTGGGTGTGTATCTGGGTTAAACTGCACCTGTGGGTGTGTCTCTAGGTTGAACCGCACCTGTGGGTGTGTATCTGGGGTTAAACTGCACCTGTGGGTGTGTATCTGGGGTTAAACTGCACCTGTGGGTGTGTCTCTAGGGTTGAACTGCACCTGTGGGTGTGTATCTGGGAAACTGCACCCTGGGTGTGTATCTGGGGTTGAACCGCACCTGTGGGTGTGTATCTGGGGTTAAACTGCACCTGTGGGTGTGTCTCTAGGGTTGAACCGCACCTGAGAGTGTGTATCTGGGTTAAACTGCACCTGTGGGTGTGTATCTGGGGTTAAAACTGCACCTGTGGGTGTGTATCTGGGGTTGAACTGCACCTGTGGTGTGTATCTGGGTTAAACTGCACCTGTGGGTGTGTATCTGGGGTTAAACTGCACCTGGGTGTGTATCTGGGGTTAAACTGCACCTGTGGGTGTGTATCTGGGTTAAACTGCACTGTGGGTGTGTATCTGGGGTTAAACTGCACCTGTGGTGTGTATCTGGGGTTAAACTGCACCTGAGGGTGTGTATCTGGGTTTAAACTGCACCTGTGGGTGTGTATCTGGGGTTAAACTGCACCTGTGGGTGTGTATCTGGGGTTAAACTGCACCTGTGGGTGTGTATCTGGGGTTAAACCGCACCTGTGGGTGTGTATCTGGGGTTAAACTGCACCTGTGGGTGTGTATCTGGGGTTAAACCGCACCTGTGGGTGTGTATCTGGGTTAAACGCACCTGTGGGTGTGTATCTGGGGTTAAACCGCACCTGTGGGTGTGTATCTGGGGTTAAACCGCACCTGTGGGTGTGTATCTGGGGTTAAACTGCACCTGTGGGTGTGTATCTGGGGTTAAACCGCACCTGTGGGTGTGTATCTGGGGTTTAAACTGCACCTGTGGGTGTGTATCTGGGGTTAAACCGCACCTGTGGGTGTGTATCTGGGGTTAAACCGCACCTGTGGGTGTGTATCTGGGGTTAAAACTGCACCTGTGGGTGTGTATCTGGGGTTAAACTGCACCTGTGGGTGTGTATCTGGGGTTAAACTGCACCTGTGGGTGTGTATCTGGGGTTAAACCGCACCTGTGGGTGTGTATCTGGGGTTAAACTGCACCTGTGGGTGTGTATCTGGGTTAAACCGCACCTGTGGGTGTGTATCTGGGGTTAAACTGCACCTGTGGGTGTGTATCTGGGGTTAAACCGCACCTGTGGGTGTGTATCTGGGGTTAAACCGCACCTGTGGGTGTGTATCTGGGGTTAAACTGCACCTGTGGGTGTGTATCTGGGTTAAACTGCACCTGTGGGTGTGTATCTGGGGTTAAACTGCACCTGTGGGTGTGTATCTGGGGTTAAACCGCACCTGTGGGTGTGTATCTGGGTTAAACTGCACCTGTGGGTGTGTATCTGGGGTTAAACCGCACCTGTGGGTGTGTATCTGGGGTTAAACCGCACCTGTGGGTGTGTATCTGGGGTTAAACCGCACCTGTGGGTGTGTATCTGGGGTTGAGTACGGCCGGTAGACAGAAGCGCAGTGCGTGGTCGGCCTGAACGCTGAGCTCCATCACATAGACGATGTTGATGACGGCGCTCTGACCCGGAGACAAACACCCGACACTCAGTTTGAAGACATCTGAACTCTCATCGCTCTCTTCCAGCAGAAACGCCTGCTGACCCGAACTCACAGCATCATCGTACTGATCCCGTGCCTGCAAGAGAAGAAGCGGTCAAGCAACAGGAGAACACATCAGCTCGTGAGTGTTTGCTTTTCTCACTATATTTTAACATGGTTCTTTGTTGCTAGGAAACTTTGTTTTGTTTGCTGGGTTTACCGTGGTACAACACGTGCTGAAGTCTTGTTTGATTGTTTGTCGCACATCTTGCGTGGCTTTTGAGTTTCACTTTGCAAAGTATTAGGGCGTGGCCTGCTCTATTCATTAACACAGTATTAGGCATGTATATAATTGGTTAGTGGTTAGGCAGCCCTTGTGTGAAGCCCTCATCGTATGAAGAGCGAAGAGTGTAAAGACCAGCGACTCGACCTGCGCGACTCCACCGAGCAAAGACACCGACAAATCACAGTATTGCTTTTCCCCCCATTTCTTTCCTTTCTGTACAGCTTGTTCTCATTTGTTTGTTTTAGTGAACTGAATTCACCATGTGCTTTCAAATCTTTTATATTACTGCCAACTAAATCGCGCTCTGTACATTGGAGGCAGCACAATCCCTACAATCTGCATATTATCTCTATGTCCTCTACTACTTAATCTCCATTCTGGAACTACCAATCTGCTGTAAACTAAGCAGACTTTATTTCATCTATTGCTACTCATCAAAGTCTCAACCTCATGGCCCTAAATGAGACCTGGATCAAACCTGAGGACACTGCCACTCCTGCAGCACTCTCCATTCATTTCACTTTTCCCACACCCCTTAGTGCCCTCACCCAACTGGGAGCGGTGGAGGTACTGGTCTGCTTCTCAAATGAATGGAAATGTAATCCTTTCCCATCTCTAACTGGCAACAGTTATTACTGTTGTTAGTAATTACTAACCCAATTAAAATCCACCTTGTAGTTGTTTATCGTACCCCAGGTCAACTGGGTAACTTCTTAGAATTAGACGTGTTAGTCTTAAACTACCCTGTGGACGGCCCTCCTCTGGTCCTACTCGTGACTTCAACATCCAGCTTGATAAACCCAGGCTGCGGACTTCAACACTCTACTGGCCTCATTTGACCTCAAGCGAGTGTCTAGTACGGCTACTCACAAATCAGGTCACCAACTGGACCGTGTCTACACACGCTGCTGCTGCACGGACAACACGTTAGTTACTCTACTGCACACCTCAGACCACTTCATCATCACTTTTAACCTCAAACTGACTCCTCTTTTTTTAATCATACAGTATTGTTTTTTTTTTGTTTGTTTTTATTGCAGATGAACAAAACAGTAACACATACCAGGTAAGCTCAAACTGACTCCTGACACAACACGCACCCCCTCTGCTCCCTGACTTCAAGCCCAGAAGTGTCCAAGCATCACAGCAGTAATGACTTTATGAATTTCTTCACTTATAATATTGATAATATCAGGGACAAAATTATAACTATGCAACTGTCTACTACAGTATCGCATCAGAGGCTGCATTGTTGTCTCCCTGAGGAAAGATTTGGTTCATTTGCTGCTATAGGGGAAAAAGAATTTTGCAAGCTCGTTAATTCATCTAAATCAACAACTTGTATGCTAGACCCTATACCGACTAAACTACTGAAAGAGATGCTTCCGGAGGTCATAGATCCTCTTCTTAATATCATTAATTCCAGTAAAGATACTGGAAAAAGCAGTATCCTCACAACTGTGTTCCTTTCTGGAAAGAAATGATATCTGCGAGGATTTCCAGTCAGGATTTAGACCGTACCATAGTACCGAGACAGCTCTCATTAGAGTCACACATGATCTGCTCTCATCATCCGACGTGGTTGTATCTCTCTATTAGTGTTTCTTGATCTTAGTGCTGCATTCGACACAATCGACCACAACATTCTTTTAAATAGACTAGAAAACTATGTTGGCATTTGTGGATCTGCATTAGCATGGGTTAAATCACGCTTATCTGACCGTTATCAGTTTGTATCAGTAAATGAAGAGATGTCTTATCGATCACAAGTTCAGTATGGTGTCCCACAAGGCTCAGTACTAGGACCGCTGCTGTTCACTCTGTACATGCTGCCATTAGGAGATATCATTAGGAAACATGGAATTAGCTTTCACTGTTATGCTGATGATACTCAGCTGTATATTTCTTCAAAACCTAACAAAACTTACCAATTCACAAAACTAACGGAATGCATAGCTGATATAAAAATTGGATGACTAGTAATTTCCTACTACTAAATTCTGAAAAAAACAGAGATTCTAATTATTGGACAAAAAACTTCCACACATAACAGCCTAGAATACTGTCTAACACTCGATGGCTGCTCTGTTAAGTCTTTGTCCTCGGTTAAGAACCTGTGTGTGTGTGCTCTTTGATACCAATCTCTCATTTGAAAGTCATGTGTCTAGTATCTGTAGAACCGCATTTTTCCATCTTAAAAATATATCTAAATTACGCCATATGCTCTCATTGATAAATGCGGAACAAGGGTTAGGGTTAGTGATTCAAACCGCCGTGATTATTTCGACTTCCAAACAGATGGAAATGGACAAATTCTCTTAATGTTTTGATCCAATTTGTTTTGTAATCACTGTTCCTCCGTTGGCCAGAGGAGAACTGACCCCGACTGAGCCTGGGTTCTCCCGAGGTTTTTTCTCCATTCAGTCCCTGATGGAGTTTTGGTTCCTTGCCACTGTTGCCTTGGCTTTTGGCTTGCTTAGTTGGGGACATTTAATATTCAACAATATTATTGAACTGTATTATACTATTTTCATGTTATCGTGAAGCTGCTTTGATACAATCTGTATTGTGAAAAGCGCTATATAAATAAAGGTGACTTGAGGATACTTCAGAATTTGCCGCATTACGATTCGATTCATTCTAGATATTTTTACATGATATCTATTAAGTTTAAATAAAAATAAATAAATATCCTTTTATTGCGAATACAGAAACAGCATTTGTGGCGAGCAGGACGCGGGCGACGTGCGAGAATGGCGTGAGGCCGGTGGCGTGAGTGTTAATGAACGTCACCCGTGAGACGCAGCGGTCTCTCGATCTTCAGCTCATCGCTCTTCTTTTTATGCTTCTGCTCCTCCGTGAGAGATGCGAGACCGGTTCGTCTCACAGGTGACGTTCATTATCACTCACACCACTGGCCTCGGGCCGTTCGCTCACGTCGGCCGAGTATTTTATTAACATAATGCATGTATTACACCATAGCAGTCTTCTTTGCAAACGGCGACATCTCTTACCACTGCTCCATCTGTGTTCCTGAAGCCCCAATACTTCCACACCCATGACTAAACGCCGACTGGAGTGTGTAAGATTTCACTTTCATTGCCAGCTCGCTCTAACGGTTCCATCGCTCTTGAAAGTCAGACTCAACAACGTGTGTTGATCTTTTTCAAAAACTTTCACATGAAAAATTAAACACTGAATGTTTAACATTCAATTAGTTGCCAAAATAAATGAACAGCAACAATTCTAATCATACTTAAACTCATTACAAAGGGAAAAAAATCGTTTGGATCCTCATGTGCAACAAAGTAAATACGATGAAAGTGGCAGAACATAAAACAAATCCAGAATTTAAAATCTGTAATTTTATACACAGTTAAATGCGATCCATTTCCATTTGTACTTGGCAACTAATGCAAAATGGCGTCTGTTTTTGAGTACAAATGAACAGGACTTAACAGATCAATTACGGATTAAAAAGTAACATTTAAATTGTGCCTAATGTTGTGAGCTCAGATAGCAGCATATACATTTGAGGGCAGTTCATTAATGTAATAAAAACATAAAAAATGTTTAAGTAGGCAACTGTTCAGAGATTTGTCGGGTGAAACTGCTCCTCCTGGCTGATCTGCACTGAAGAGTCTCCCGTGTGCTGGTCGAAAACAAACAGTTCTACGCCTAAAACTCAATTCTGGTCAAGATAATAAAGAGTTGTAAGGGGGGGGGGGGGGCAAGCTTTGTCACTGGTGGCCACACCCCTAGCCCCGCCCCTTCGGGTTTAGTGCCATCTTTTGATTAATATTGCTGTATTTCAGGTAAATCATGATGCTGCAAAAGCCTCATAAGACCTTTGACTGGCCCTTTCCAAATCTGTGGGAAAAAATCTAATCTAAAGGGTCACATGGGGGCCTCCTAAACTATAGAAGACACTACAGCAAAGCTGAAACCAGTGAGATGTATTGCAGATTTCACAATCAAGGAGAGAAGAGCATTCATGGCAAAATTCAGCATTAGCACAATCTCTCCAGAATTAAGTGGGTTTCGGTAGAAGATAACTTGAACAAATTTAAAAAATCTAAGAAAACCACAGACTCTCATGTATAAAACTTTGCTTAGATTTCCTAGGCTTGTTTGAAAGGGACAGATGTGTGTGTTGAGCCGGTTTGAACTGAACTCCAGCATCTGTCTGGCAAACTGAGACTGATCACATAATGACATTTTCGCAGATATCCATCATGTGTATCTGAATCTGTCCCTCGGGTGTGGAGACTCACGCTCTGCTTGTCCCGCAGCTCCGCCACAATCTCCTGCTCCTCGATCCGGGCGCTGAAGTGGCAGACGGCGGCGTCGGCCGGCAGCGGGAACACGAACACGGCCTCCAGCGCTCCGTCCTCCTCGTTCACATACTGAAGACTGGAGCTGACGGAGACCCCGTGATCCCGAACCTGCAGCTCCACCGAGATGCTCTTCAGAGGAACTGAGAGAAGAGAAACACACATCAGAGGAACTGACATACACACACACATCAGAGGAACTGAGACACACACACACACACACATCAGAGGAACTGACACACACACACACACACATCAGAGGAACTGACACACACCAGACTAACTGTTTTGACTAGGAGCGCTGTTGCCCCTGACTGAAAATTTTAGGAGCGCAAGCAGAAAATTTAGGGGCACACCTTAAATCAGCTTGCAATGAAATTATTCACATTTCCCCCAAAATACCTGTAATACTGACAAATTCTTTAATAATAAATAGACTTAACATTATGATATGCTGTTTTATTTTAAGTTCAGAGGGCTCCAGACTCAAAGTTGAGGGCAGCATCACCTCAAATGAGAACTCACAGCGTGTTCTACTACAAAAAATAAAAAATAAAAAAAATAAATTCTGGTAGCACTAGGGCTGACAATAAATCACTAAGCTTAATTTAGGGTGTAGATGAAATTAACTTTAGTTATTATCATTTATAATGTCTTAATATTAATTAATAAAAGTAGTGAAAATATGTATTTTTGAAAATAGCCAATAAACATCCTGTTTATAATGGTATTATTATTATTTTTTAAGTGTTTAAATAAGAGTTTTCCAACATCTTAAAATTTTTCGTTTTAGGACAATCTTAAAAAAAAAAGTGTTGGTAATCACATAAAAAAATACAAAAAAATAAAACATTTTTATTGATATTATTGAAGTGCTGGGAAAAGATGTGTAGTAGTAGGCTATTTGTAAGCATTTGACTATTTCTTACACATTATCATATTTATGGTTAGTTAACTTACTAGGCTACATTAACCTAAATCCATGGTTCTGTTAGGCTGATTTGTGGACTGAAACCCTTCTATTAGTGTTTCTCCTGGTTTCCACGTCAGCGCTGTTTGATCTGATATGGTTTATAACAGAACTCTGCGCCGAATCGGAGTGTTTCTCACTGGATCTCGTGGTGTTGATGTTATTAATTCTGAGTTATTCAAATTCAATTGATTTCTTCACTGGATCTCCTAGCAACAGTGTTGCGTGAGCGAGATCGGCCCGCGACTGGCAAGTTCGGGGCTTTATTTTATGTCAATGGTTCAAGTCGCTGCTGCTGCTCCGGTCCTAATCAAATATGAGTGGCATATTTTCGTTCCACTTTTATTTTGTTTGCATTCGCTGCTAGGTAACGACTAACGAGTCGATAGATCGCTGATTGCTCAGACGCACATCAGGTTGTGATATTTGTCTCCGTCTCCTTCCCACAGACGTTTACGCGCGCTATTCTTGTCACGGATTCATTGACGCGCTCCTTCCACGCTTTTAACGTGTGGCAAATTTACTGGTCGCACATGTGCGACTGGATGTAAAATTCAGTCGCACACTCTCAAATTTTGGTCGCAAAATGCGACCATTTGGTCGCAGTCTTTAGCCCTGCCACTGCCAAGATCTCCAACACGCCTGCCCATGGCACACATGGTAACTGGTCCCTTGAGGTTCCAGGCTAAGCTGTACAGATCTCGGAGCAGCAGGGGGCCCCAGAGACAACGGCATGGGAATGAGGTCTGCACCATCCTCGCCTTAACCCTAACCCTACCGCACTACCTACTCACCGCCCAGCGGAGTTATGGGTGCCCTAATGACACTGCAGGATGGAGGGAGTGATGAATATGGCGGGAGTGAAGAAGATGGCGGGAGTGATGAAGATGGCGGGAGTGAAGAAGATGGCGGGAGTGACGAAGAGTGACGAAGATGGCGGGGGTGACGAAGATGGCGGGAGTGACGAAGATGGCGGGGGTGACGAAGATGGCGGGGGTGACGAAGATGGCGGGGGTGACGAAGATGGCGGGGGTGACGAAGATGGCGGGGGTGACGAAGATGGCGGGGGTGACGAAGATGGCGGGGGTGACGAAGATGGCGGGGGTGACGAAGATGGCGGGGGTGACGAAGATGGCGGGGGTGACGAAGATGGCGGGGGTGACGAAGATGGCGGGGGTGACGAAGATGGCGGGGGTGACGAAGATGGCGGGAGTGACAAAGATGGCGGGAGTGACGAAGATGGCGGGAGTGACGAAGATGGCGGGAGTGACGAAGATGGCGGGAGTGACGAAGATGGCGGGGGTGACGAAGATGGCGGGGGTGACGAAGATGGCGGGAGTGACAAAGATGGCGGGAGTGACGAAGATGGCGGAGTGACGAAGATGGCGGGAGTGACGAAGATGGCGGGGGTGACAAAGAGTGACGAAGATGGCGGGGGTGACGAAGATGGCGGGAGTGACGAAGAGTGACGAAGATGGCGGGGGTGACGAAGATGGCGGGAGTGACGAAGAGTGACGAAGATGGCGGGAGTGACGAAGAGTGACGAAGATGGCGGGGGTGACGAAGATGGCGGGGGTGACGAAGATGGCGGGGTGACGAAGATGGCGGGGGTGACGAAGATGGCGGGGGTGACGAAGATGGCGGGGGTGATGAAGATGGCGGGGGTGATGAAGATGGCGGGGGTGACGAAGATGGCGGGGGTGACGAAGATGGCGGGGGTGATGAAGATGGCGGGGGTGATGAAGATGGCGGGGGTGATGAAGATGGCGGGGGTGATTTTTCATAAACTTCAGCTTTATTGTCAGCCGCGCTCTCCTCTGTCCCCTGAACGACCGGTCGACTTCCTGAGTCTATGAAACCACTCCCTCAGAAACAGGCAGTGGGCTCAGATTGGGTAGTTTGGGCCGGTGTGGGTCAAAACTACTGACTGGTTTTGACGAAACAAGCTGTTTTTTATACTGCCAAGAGCGTAGCTCGTACCAAGAGCGTGGTGAGCAGAAACGTGCGTACGTCACGAAGTGCAGAACATCCATTAGGAAAATTCAACTGCAGTAGCCACCGTTCAACCTGAAGAGGGCAGCACTAAGACGTTTTTACACCATATATTATAGAAATAAAACACTTTAAACACAAATGTCAAAAAAGTTACTCGAATCAATGACTGGTATTAATAAAGATCCATTCTTACAGATCATTAACTAAAAAAAGTTGGTTTAGTGTTTAGTTACTCTTTAAGCCTTTCAGTTTCCTTCCCTTTGAATGGAAATATAGTGATTTACTTCATTTGTTTAATACGGTGCACTGACAGAAGAGTTTTAATAAGTGAAGATATATGTGAAAGGCTTATAGATCATTAAATGTTTATTTAACTTTTATAGACCCCAAAAATGCTTTTCAGATTACCAGACAAATTAAATATGCTGTCCATTTAAAATGGAGATATAATTTTATTTGCCTTTGAAGATGATACATATTTTTAAATTTCCACTGTCTAAAAAGACATATTTGGTGTGAATAAAAAAAAAAGAAACAGACAGCACATTCTCATATCACACCAGCTTATAAATAGCACAATAATTCTCTAACATGCTGTCTTAAATAATAGTAATTAATGCAAATTTAATCCCGTGGTTTAAGAATTATAAACAATATAGAGAGTTGTTTGTAATGAGGAAGTGGAGAGTTTAACGTTACCTGGGACATTTTTCTCCGACACGAGACCGCAGCAGTTCACCATTCTGGCTCTCTGAGGAACAAACAAATCAGCTTTCATAAACATTATATTTTATGTGTCTGATTCGACATTCCTCTATTACATTAGGCCTACATTTCATCTGCTGCAAGCGTGTAGTATCAGTACAGAAATATCGTAAACACACACGATTTAAAGAATAGTAAATCTTTACCATTTTAAAGGTGCTAGATGGAATTTTAAAAATAGTTCATAAGAAACTAAAAGAGATTCAATAATTTCTACGATCTCATTTCGCTTATTACAAAGTGAAAGTAAACAGGGAGTGAAGGTAAACAAACAGGAATCAAGTCTTACTGCTTTTATAAATCTTTAGCGATCCCTCAGTCAGTAAATAGGATGAAAATGACTCTGACTGACCGTGTAAAGATGTTTCGGGAAGAATCGGATGACTTGCAGGAAATGAATCAGGCAGTAGTTTTGAGGAAAAGGCGCTCATGAATATTAAGAATGAATGACGCAATGACGCTGTAGGCCGAGTGATAATGACATCATGGCGAAAGTAGTATGCACAGACTACAATCATTCTACACAAAAAAAAAAACAAAACAAAAAAAATACATTCATTCTACACACACCCATACTATAGAAGTACCTACTCTAGAGAGTGTGAGATTCAGACTCAGCTGTTGTTGGTTAAAGCACCGGACTGGTAATCCAAGCAAAACTGTGTAATCAGTTCTGGGTTATTATTAACACAGTTGTTTAAGACCTATTAAAAGCAACTATTTCAGCTAGTTAACCTGGATGGATTGAGTTTTCAAATAACAGTCGTGAAGATGGTAAAAATGCCAAAGATGTATTAAATGCAATAAACTGTCAAATAACAGACAACAGACTATTGATGTGACTTCTGCTTTAATGTGATGAGTTCAAAGTTCATGTGACAGATATTGGATGTTAAAGGGATTTTACAAAAGGGTTATCATGAAGACCAGAACACTTTACATCCTGCAGATGGTGATTACATTGTAAACATATTTGCCTCATCGCTAGCACTCGTGCTTTCAGGAGACGAAGGGTATAGATCAGATCCGAATCATTAATGTGATCATCTGTCACGAGCAGCAGGAAAACACCCAGTCTTCAACCTTTACCTTTCATAGATACCTTTCACAACCTTTATACCTCTCAAGCCCAGAAAAAATGACTCTTTATGATGAGCAAAGAATGCATAAAGACCCGTTGGCTCTAAGAATGAAGAAACAATAGACTCTGTCAGAGGAATGCTTTTGTTTGCTCTGGGTGTGAACGAGACAGATGAAGCAAAACACTGAAACATGAAGACATCCGGAAGATTCATTTATTCAGATACTATACTATTTACAATTAAATATGTAGGATTCAGCAGGAATCAAATATTTTACAATAATAAATGTTAATTTACTGCTAATGTTCAGTTTATACTGAAGTTCTAAAAAACACACACACACACACACACACACACACACACAGCGAGCTGCACTGTTTAGCTTTTGGCTTTGCGGCCCCTGAAGGATGTGTTCATTTCAGCGCTATCAAAATGACTTAATCTAACGTCAGTCAGCTGCTGAAAAGTTGCATTTTTGTACCCGATAATACATTCAGAAGGTGGGATCCTAGCCTGACTTCGTCACACTCATTTTCTAATAAGAATATGAGTCTGATATCGCTCCGTTGGGCTTTGATTATGAGGCGTGTCGTAACCGAACCAGGAAAAAAAAACCTCTGAACTCAATTGGATAGTCGGTAGACCAACAACCAGTGGCGGTTCTACTTTGAATTACACCCAGGGCGAGACCCCCTTCGAGCGCCCCCCCCCCCCAAAATAAAAAAAAATGCATATTATAGGCTACTGTAAAAACACATAATTAAAGTTGATTTTAGTTGATCAATATGACAATTATTAGATAATATAGTGACCAAAATGATCACATACACAGAATCTTGTTCAAAAAGCCTAATACACAGTGAAATCAATTCACCAAGTTAATAACATTAAAGATTTGTTTTTAAGGAGTGTCTTTTATCTTACCTACTAAACTTAAAAAAAGGTTAACAAAAAGGTTTTATAAAAAGATCAACCTCATATTTCAGCATTTAAATCATCTCTATAAAAAAAATGAGTCAATAACATTCCTGACATTTATAATGCACCGTATAGCTTTTCTTTTAAGAGTAAAATTCGTACCGATTTTCCCATGGCTGTCGTTTCAATAGAACCATGCACTCATTACCCTGCGCTCTCCTGACGTTTTAGTAGCTAATGTATTTCCACCACAGAAAAACGCTTGCTGTAGCTCTGCTGAAAGATTTATTTACGGAGAAGAGAAAAAACACCCAAGTGTTTGGGTGCACGTGCATACTCTAAAGTTTATGAGCGCGCTTCCAGTGAGCGCATAATGAGCGCGCTTCCCGTGCGCCTATTTGAAACATAGAGGATTTGAAATAACAACCTCGAGCGTGCAAAAGACGCAATACGTGAACTAATCAGGAGATCCCCTTGACATCGCTTCTGCTCACGGCACCTTCTCAGCAAGCAGGGCGCCATTGCCAATAATTGAATCGAAATGATAAAAAATAGAAAAACTTCGCGGCACAGAGGATTTTTTTAACTGCTCGTGCCGCCCCCCATGTGACATGAAAAAATGCCGCCCCGGGCGACTGCCCGGTTCGCCCGTGCCTAGAACCGCTACTGCCAACAACCAATCAGAGCAACGCAGTACGTCAACTTCTTTGCATAGCGCAGTTTTCAAATACAGAACGTAGCCTAACTTTATTTATTTTAGAAGTTAAATAACGAGTGTTGCTTCTTTTCCTTACTTCTCCATGAGTGTGACCAAAGGAGAAACCACAACGACCACAGGCTTTTCATTACGTCCCGTCTTCTTAACGACCATCAGAGTCAGCTGATAAGTTACACTTTTCCCGAATCATGTAGGAAGGACGCCAAAAATATCTTTCCGATCGACAAATGCCTTGATCGCAGTTCTCTGTTCGTCTGTTAAAATGAATGCGCTGTCGATTTATTTTACAAAAGACGCGAGAGCGAGATCTATACATCTCAATTCTCCAGCTGCAGTCGTCTTCGACAAGCGCTCTTTGATAACGTGATGATTACGTCCCTGCAGATCATCTGTCCATCATCGTATAAAGCCCGCCCTGGCAATTTGATTGGCCCGTTCATTTCTTGCCTGATCATAATCACTCCTCAATGGATCGAGTCCAGACCGAACTTCCCCACCAAAAAATGTTGTGGGCGGAGTTCGGGCTGGCATCCAGGCTAGTGGGATCCATTTTGAAACGGTGACATAAATTGGTTTCATTACAGGTGAATGACAAACAGCCTAGTGTTTACTTTGCTGACCGTCTTGATAAGTGGCCTGGCGTATAAGGGTTACAGACCCTTTAACATCTGTTGTAAAGATTCATCAGATTCAAACAGTGAAGAGTGATTCACTCGCATGAGGAATTATTTTCACCACAGAGTCTTGACCTTTAACCCCATTGAAAGTCTTTGGAATGTGCTTGATGGGTTACAGAGCAGTTGTCAATGCAAGATATCAGCCAAACATTTACGCAACTCTTGATAAATATTGTGATGTTGCATAATGCTGTCGAAACATTGCCATGATGACGAATGCACACTAATCAGAGAGCGACATGTTTTTTGGCCAGCTTAGAATGAAGTTGCTCTAAACCTGGTCTAAGTGTTTATCTAGCTGAGAAACAGAGACAGTTGAACAGCAGCTCATGCAGATTCTCACCCGAGGTCCACGTGTAGTGAAGTTAGGGTCAGTGAAGGGCTTTCCCTGCAGATCTCCCAGTGTTAATACAGGTTTCTTGAAGCTGAAGTTTCCCAGCTCCAGGCTCATGAGGCTTTTGTTGAGCTGAGATCCTGATTCTCTCAGCGCTGATCCTGAGGAGAAACATGGCCTCCACAGTGTCCTTGTTCTCCTTATAAAGCATGAATGCTTCCCAGGGGCTTCAGTGGGAGACAGAAAAGAAGAGATGAAAGACACTAAATGAAAAAGGACAAAATATTTAAGCAGAGACTGAAACATATTACGGAGTTTAATTGCTTGAATTTATTTTCATAAAGAAAACATACATGGTCAATACCAGTAAAGCAGCAGCTATGCAAGGTTAGAATATTGATGAAAACAATCTCTGAAGCTCCACGCTGTACGAGCTTCAACATTTACACCATATTATATCTAGAACACTTACAATAATTATGGAAAGTAAATCACTGTCGAGTCATTAGTATAATTCAATATAATCAATATTCCATTTTTTTATTCTGCCGAGCTCAATATAAATCAAGCAGATTTCCTGATGTGGACGTAAACATCTTTATAACATACAGTGTTCGGGTCCATCACTGTCGGACAGCAGAAAACAAACAAAAACAAGTCCACATTTCAAAAATAACAAACCTAACAAAACACATGTAATCATATTTAATGAAAACTACACCTCTACATTTATCTTGTCAGATCTATTGAAAAAAAAAAGCACCAACATTAATTTCTGTATCACAGAATACAGTATTAAATGTGACAAACTTGTACAAAGAAAATCTGAAGATTGTGTAAATTGTAATTATTATGCAAGATAAGGAAAATGAAAAAGTGAATGATCTCCATCACCACTCCGCCTCTCCTACAGCCTTGGAGAACACATAGTCTTTCCCCCCGTAACACATCACACCATCCTTCAGGTAAAACTTCCAGCGGTTTTTGCTACGGTGGATCTATAAAACACAAACAAACAAAAAAGTAAACAATTTAAAACATTAAAATATAATTTCTTTGTAAATAGTTTTGACTGGGAGATTTGTGCCAACTAAAATGACTAAAATACAAATGAATGTAGATTTAGTCCGTTTACACGGTTAAACTGAACTGGAAGATCTCCATCTGTCCAACACAACGAGTGTCATCGCGGGTGACATCATTCACATAATCAAAACCACACACTGGCATTAGCATTTATTAATATTCTCAACCATGTCGGATTCAGGCAAAATGTCTTCCACTCACGGTCAGAGTCATAAACTAGATTTTCAGTGGCAACCTACAGCATAGGTTGCTCCATATTCACAGTGTTCTCTGCAAAACTAAAAAAATGGCTTTATTCTGCACAGGTTTAACCATGTTCTCGCTCAGAAAAAACAACAGACATAAATAACTAATACCAACACAACCAACAAAGTTTCTCTACATTCACACACTAAGTAGTAAAACTGATGAAGCACCATACAGAATGCCTCAGTCTCCTCACCCCCTCAGTCTCCTCGCTCCCTCAGTCTCCTCGCCCCCTCAGTAGTCTTGCACCCTCAGTCTCCCCCTCAGTAGTCTCGCCCCCTCAGTCTCCTCGCCCCCTCAGTCTCCTCGCCCCCTCAGTCTCCTCGCCCCCTCAGTCTCCTCGCCCCCTCAG